CCACCTTCCCCGTCCTCCCCTCTCCCACACATCAGGGGCAGCCAGGAAAAAGTTTATTCCAAGACCACAGAGAAAGCCACGTGCAACCTGGAAATCCAGATGTCCACAAAGCTCCTAGACCTAAATTTCCCAGGGTGACACAAGAGCTGGTGTGTTGGTGACCCCCCTGAGCGGGGACAGGAGCAGAAGGCAGCGGTGGTGGCTGCTCTCCTGAGGGTCACAGGAGGATCAGAGATGTCAAGAGCTGATGACCTTGGTGATGTGTTTGAAGGATGCTCTTGAAGCTGGTGGGTTCCCCTGTTGCATCTCCCCATGGCACGTTCACCTTCACTGCTCTAAACCCAGAGTGCAGCTTGAAACGGAGGGTGTTTGGCCCTCAGGGTATTTATTAATAACAGAATTAAACAAGCTCATTTTCTGAGCTTCTGAGGAAATGCACAAAATGACTTCGCTTACTCTTTTCTCCCTTTTGATCTCTCTAATAAAATTGGTGATTAACAAAAACGAATTTGAGCTGATGCCATTTTATCTGCCTCAGTTTAGCTGAGCCCTGGGCACGAGGAGCATCACGCAGAGGGAGCTGCTGCCATTTTTTCGCCTACATGCTCTGTCTGAACATACTGCTCCAAAATTTTCCTGTCTAATGGATTTCCCCCTCTCTGTGCATGACACCTGATGAGCAGGAAAACCTGCTTTAAAGCACATCATGCCCTGGTGGATGAGGCTGAAGCAGCTGGGGATGGAGGGGGGGCAGAGGGGGTGGATCCCCCAAGCTCAGCAGCCCCTCTGCAGCTCACTCCTCTTGGACTTCCCTGCTCTCCTTGCAGCCAAACACCACATTTCCTCAATAAGCCAGGAATTTCACTTGTGCCTGAACATGGAAAATCACATTATGAAAGGGCTGCCTCACTACAAATTGCTTTGAATATCTTTGGTGCTGTCACAGGATTTGGGCTGGGTTCTGCCTTTTTTTTTTTTAAGGCAGATGGGGAGAGAAAACCTGTACAGAGCTGAAACCCAAATCTTCCCGGGGGCCCATCAGCACAACCATAAAACAACAGTGATGAAGTCACTCCTTTTCCCCAGACTCCTGCCTCAGGATTGCCTTGGCACAGCCAGGTTTCTCTCTGTCCAAGTGAGGCATTTCTTCCCATTAGTAAATCAGCTGAAGACTTTCCTGGGACAACAAGCTCTTGTTAATAGGACAGGGTTTCTCAGGCTGAGGCTGCCAATGTGCTACTGGGAGTGTCCAGGGCTGAAGTGCTCTGGAAGTGCTGCAGGCTCACGGATTTCCCAGTGCAACTCCAGCCCTGGAGAAGCAGGGAAGCTGCTTCAGTGAGGGCTGTGTGTGTCTCGACATGATTTTTTTTTCTTCTAAGAAGCTGCAGAAATGCATTTGCTGCACTTGTGAGAGGTGCTTAACCTGCTGTGTCCCATTCACCTTCCCCAGGAACTGCTTTAGTTTTGCTGTGAATGAAAAAATCAGCATGTCCATGTAAATATTCAGCCCGACCTGCGGGGGCAGATATGACCAGATGTTGAAAGCAAGTCAATACAATTGAGCTGTGAAATTCTGTTGGAGAAAAAAATCCCACTCTTCCTTCTTTTTACCCTGAAAGGAGAAACATTGCAGCAAAATTGCCCAGTGTTCTCCAGCTTTGACCAATTTTTTAAATTTTTGTCACAAAGTTGCTGCCCACAGGAAAGACAGACTCCAACCTAAGATTCACTTGGTTAAAATCCCAGGCTCTAACCCAGTTATCAGCTTATATTTGAAAAGGGAAGATGTCAATCAAGCCCCCACCTCTCCATGCAAATATAATGAAGACTGAGTTGACCTTGCTCAGGGCTCTGAGCCTCCAGCAACACCCCAGCTTTGCTCCTCTACAAGTTCCATTTTCACCTGCCCTTCAGTGACAAAGCCCAGCACTTTTCTGGTGTGTCCCACGGGTGGGTTTCATAAATCTCTTCAGGGGTGTGATATTTAATCCCAGTTTTTCCAGTAGCACAGGGATGTGGGATTCTCCTGCATAAACTGCCCCCTTTTTTTTTTTTTTTTTTTTTTTTTTTTTTTTTTTTTTTTATCTGGGGGTTTTATTTAGGGAGTTTTATCTGGGGGAGTCACCCAGGAGCACACTTTCTATTTCAGGTTACAGAGCAGTTGGGGCAAACAGTGTGAGTAAATCCAGCTTTATCTTTCCAGTCTATTAAAAATTAACTGGGTGTAGAAGAAGGGAAAGTGCAATTTGCATCTGACTCTGGGAGGGAAATAAAAGGCTGGTAAAATACAGAGTTTTGGAAACATTTCAGGATTCTTTTCCTTCTCTCCCTTTTATTTTACAGGTTCATATCACAAGGTCCCAGACTGAGTGCCTACATTTGCACTGTGCCCCTCTATTTCCCCAAGCCTTGGAGGACTTTTGGAGGATTCAGCCAAAGTTTTGTCCTCCCCATGAGACAGGACATGGGCAGCAAAAAGACATTTTGTGCTCCTCAGTCCTGCTTGTGGAAACCTGCCCAGCTTAGGCTTAGCAAAAATGTTTGATGATAAAGGCAAAATAAATCTGAGATGGAGCCTCCACTCAGAATTGTGCACTAGGACAACTCCAGTTGCCCCTTCAGCTCACACTTAGCAACGAGGAAAGGCAGGATGCTCGCGTCTCCCACAGCCTGGCATCTCCTTAAAATGACGTTTCCAGCCCCGCTTTTTGGCTGGTCAGTGAGCGCAGCCTGCTGATATCCCATCGGAACTGCAATCTCAGCCCCGTACGCGAGGCTTAGTCAATCGCTGGGGCAAAATCCCCCTTATTTCGATGATCAGCACCCAGAATTATTCCCCACTGCACTTTGGATTACGCTGTGCCCGCTGGATTTTCACCCCAAAAGCCTGCACTGCTGGTGGCACAAGTAAATTCTTCTGCAGTGGGTTCTTGAAACACATTCCGTTTTGTAATGATTGGCTCCAAGAATGTTGGAATTTTTCGGGGGAACAGCTCTCAGGGGTGTTCAGTAACCTGTTGTCACAGCTCAGCTGGGAGGGGAGTGCTCAGCACCCACACAGGCAGCATCAGGTTAACTCCTTCACTGCCTGGTGGGGCTCTCAGCATTAGAAGGGCATGGACCTGTTGGAGCAAGTCCAGAGGAGGCCATGGAGATGCTCTGAGGGCTCGAGCAGCTCTGCTCTGGAGGCTGAGAGAGCTGGAGATGTTCAGCCTGGAGAAGGAAAGGCTCTGGGGAGACCTGAAAGCCCCTTCCAGTGCCTAAAGGGGTTCCAAGACTGTTGGAGAAGGACTGGAGTGACAGGGAATGGTTTCCCAGTACCAGAGGGTGGGGTTAGATGGAATACTGGGAAGGAATTCTTCCCTGTGAGGGTGGGAAGCCCCTGGCACAGGGAGCCAGCAGTTCCCAGCTCAGCCCCCCTGCTCTCATGTGCTCAGCCTGACCCCTCTGCAGGGAAGGAAATGGTGCAACTGCAGCTCCCGGGCCTGCAATGCCAGGGGGGTTGTTCCATATCCTTCTGGTGGCCTGTGCCAAGCAGCCACTCCGGGACTTTCACAACTGCACCTCCCAACTGTCCATTCACAGCTCGTTGCCCAACACAGGAGTCCCACCAGCTTTGGTTCCAGAGCTTCCTCCTGCCCCAGGGGGAGGGTCTGCAGCTTCCAGCTCACCCTGGAGAGGTGGGGGACACACTGAGACAACTGCATTATCAAACACTGAAAAATGATTTCTTAAGAGTGCTTTCCCACAAGTTACATCACAGTAGCAAGGGCATTTTGATGTGTTTCACAAAGAACAGGGCTGTTAAGATCTCTTATAGAGGGAAAGGAAAAAAAAAAAAGTAAAAATAAATAGATGTACACAGCTATGAGCAATTTGGAGTCAGCTCTGCACACAGATGAGATGGGGAAAAAAAAAATGCAGAGAATAAATAGGTAGCTTGGAGCCATCTTACAAGTGCCAGACTGCAAAACAGGACTCAAGGAAAAGTTTCTTCAGTGTCTGTGCAGCTGTGATATGGTTGTTCCTCCCTTCTCGTGCCCACCAGCTTGGCTTTACACTGAGCTTTTCCTTCCCAAGACTTTATGGAGTGGATTGAAGGGCTGCAATTCCTTGCTTGGTAAAATTCGGAGCGTATGAGTTCACAGAAATCTATAAAAATCATCAGTTTTTCAGGTCTTCCTCAGGCAAAAGTTACCTAGTGAGATATTTAAAACTGTGCTAGTGCAAACTGGCAGTCAGGAATAAATCAGAAATAACATCTGGCTGAGATCATTATTGCAGAAATCCTGCTGGAGACCCCCTCAGCTGGGAATGGCCAGGCACCACCCAGAAGAGTCTTTATTTTCCAATGGGTTTGATTACCAGGCTCCACTAAGGAGCCTGATTTACAGGCCAACAGCTGAAACCAAGCAGGTATTAAATGAATCACCTTAAAACCCAGTATTTCTGAACTCCATCTCGGTGTTGCCCATGGAACTTCGTGTTTGCAACTTGAAGATGTTTTAATAAGAACTTTCCTGTCAAACATCGGGGTTTCAGTGAAAAGACTTCATGGATTTGAGTGACAGAATTGACAACTTCAGCTGAATAAAAAAAAAAAAAAATTAAAAAAAAAAAAAGGCATGTTTCCATGCAAAAGCATCTGTATTTCTTAGCCCAAGTGAATGCTCCTGCTATGCCCAACACCATTTTTGGCCCAAGTGTGCCCCTTACTTCAGGAAGGGGAAGAAAAGGTGTTCTAAGAAACGGTCCAACCCGAGTTTCCTGCAATGCGGGATTGCCCGTTTCCCTCTGTTCCTGTGTGCCAAGAGCCCCACTATTTTATTTTATCTGCCTTTCCCAACCACCTCCAACGACTGCAGAGCCCGTGCACGCCCCCAGGGCTGAGTATGGCAACACCACCAGCCCAGAGATGTAACACTTTGCTCAAGACTGATTGGCCAAGACAAGAGGCTTGTTCAAAACCACATAAATAGCCCGGGTGGCTTCTGTGCAACGTCTTTGACTGGATCGAAGAACACGGGTGACACAGCCCCAAAATGCCAGCCCTCAGTCTGGTGGCTCTGGTCAGCTTGGTGTCCACTGGTGAGTTGGGATTGCAATGTTACACTTTGTCTTGACTGGGGTTAGGCAGACACTGATTACTGAAATTACTGAATTACTGAAATTCACTCCAAAGCAAATAATGGTTAATTTTTTTTCAGTCTGGTGGTATGAAGAATTATGGTAATTGGCACAGTTATGACTATTATAAAATATAAGGTGGCTGTTAAGAGTCATATATTGAAGTGATTAGAGGTGTCATGAAGAATCATAGAATTGTTAAGGCTGGAAAAGACCTCTAAGATCATCAAGTCCAACCATCAACCAGGCACCACTGGTTTGATTTCTTTCCCAAACTATCTTTTTAAATCTTTATCTATAGCTTTGCTTAGTTTTTAGAATACATAGCTTAAAGTAAGACCTCAAGGAAAAAAGGATCAAATCTATACATCAGGCTGTATAATATCCTTTTACCTACAGTTTCTGAGATTCCAAACTCCTGTGAGTTCAGGTCTTCCCCTTTAAACACCCTATTTTAACATTTTCTGTTGCCCCGGACAGAACAAGGTTGAATTTTCCCTGAATTTTCCTCTTTTCCACATGAAGTATTTGCCAAGCAGCTGGATGGACACCCACCCCAACAGCAGCACAGGCACTGGGCCCCCATCTGCAGCGGGAATCCCACCAACCAAATCCGGGGCTGCGACAGATACGGCTGCGGGAATTTCGGTGCTGACAGGTAACAGGGTGGGCACTGCGAGTCTGGGATTCACTGCTGCTTTCCCAAATGACATTCTCAGGCAGGAGAGAGTACGCTAAATAGAGCTGACACTCAGAATGAGAGAATATCTGTTGTATTTAAAGAGGGACCTCATAAAACAGCAAGTCATATTTCCCCGAAAAAATGCTTTTATAAGTAGAATGCCTCCTGCCTTCTCCTGCATTTTCCTGTTGTCTCCTCTCCCCAGGCTCTATGAGAAGTTTCCATCCTCATCATGTCACCTCCAAACTTCTAAATGAGAAAATGCCAAACACAAGATTACATTTCCCATGGGCATTTTGGGGTAGAACAAGGGTACTTCACTGTAACACCTTGAAATACCCCATGAACTTGGGAAAATTAAAAATAAGCTTACATTTGGTATTTCACCCCCCCTTTAAAGAAGGCCAGAGTAATGTGAACATCTTGCAGTTACACAAAAAGGCCAAAGCTGTTTTCTAATTTGATTGCAGGTACAGCAATTTTGTTAGACGAGCTTCAGGTATCCGATAAGGATACACAACATCAACCCTGAGAGACGTGTTTCTGATACTGACACGTGACATTAACCCTGACAGATGGCTCTGATGATGGATTTATGCTTCCAGGCACAGTGGCAAAGAAAAGCACGTGGGTGTGGATGTCATCTGCCGGGACGGGGCGACGGTGTACGCGCCGTTCAGCGGGCAGCTCTCCGGGCCCATCCGCTTCTTCCATAACGGGAATGCCATCGATGATGGAGTCCAAATCAGGGGATCAGGCAAGTAATGAGCAGCAGGGGTCCACAGATGATCACTCCATTTCCTTGAGTAAGGTTTCTTCAGTTCAAGCACGGTGCTGATTAGTGTCACGCCCTCTCTAGCACGCTGAAATTTGGGAAGGCAGCAGCGGCAGGATGTAGTCCTTTCCTATGCTTTTCCTGGAGAGGAGGGAAGAAAGGAGTTGAAAAACAGGTAGCAGGAAAACAACAACAACCCCAAATAATAATTAAAAAAAAAAGGAAACAGTAAAAATAAAAGTATCGGAAATACGCCTTCAGTTTTGATGAGAGGATATTTTCCTGTCCCTGTTTTCCAACTCTTTTTACGTCCTTCCCACGGCAAATCCAGTAATTTTGATTTCACAATGGTTGGTACCTTGATGACGTTTCTGCTTCACCCTTACAGTCTCCAGTAAGAGGCTGGCAGGGAATGCTTCTTGCTTTCCCAAGGAGCAGAGGCAGCTGACGCTTCCTGACCTCGCTTCCTCTCCCGTCTCCCCCAGGTTACTGCGTGAAGCTCGTCTGCATTCACCCCATCCGGTACCACGGCCACATCCGCAGGGGCCAACAGCTTGGGAGAATGCTGCCCATGCAGAAAGTATTTCCTGGCATTACTTCCCATATCCACGTCGAGAATTGCGACCACTCCGATCCCACCCACCTCCTTACGCCCGGTAAAAAAACCCCGAATAATAAAAAAAGCAGCCCAGATTGGGGGTAGAGTTGCACTCAAGGACCTGTGATTCTCTCTTTGAATTTCTGTCTTTAAAGTATGTTTCTTGTATGAGATATTACTATCCAGCTCAGTTGCACATTCTATTTACATTTCCTACAAAGATGACAAATCTCGGGGAGGAAAATCCAACCACACACGTGGGATGGAATTTCCCAAGCATATGGAAACACGGCAGTCACAAACACGCAAGGCTTAAAACAATCAACCAGCTAACTTTGATGTGCTGTGTTTCTGTGTTTCAAAGATGTCCCACCACTGCCACAACAAAGCAGTGGCCGCTGGGCCACGGTGTGTGCTGGGAATCCCACCAACGAGATCAGGGGCTGCGATAAGTACGGCTGCGGATACTACGGAGCTCCCAGGTACCACGGGGAGGGGTTTGTTGTTCCTCCACTGAAATAAGAGTTGAACTCTGTTTAAGTTACTTTAAGAATCACAGCTTTGAGGGTTTGGGTTGGACAGGAGGAAACTTTTAGGCTGCTCACATTGCTGATAACGCCTCTCTGCTTGGAGCTTTCTATTGCTCTGACTAAGCCATGGTGTCGGGAACAGTCCTGACTTGAGGGGAAAGTTGGACTTGATGTCTTTCAAATAACCAAACTTAAGACTTGGAAGAAGGGATTTTTTTCTCCAGCCCTAACAGGTCACCCACCCTATTAAACCACCTACACCAAAAAACCTTTACTGATCCTTCAGCCAGCCTAGCACTATTTCCATTCTAACAACTCATCTCCAGGTATCACCACGTGCTGCCTCTGTAACAGAGGGCCTGACTGGAGATGTCCCCAATTCCATCCTTGTCTGCAGGCGCAGTGGCAAAGGGAAGCACAGGGGAGTGGATGTGATCTGTGCTGATGGAGCCACCGTGTACGCCCCCTTCTCCGGGCAGCTCTCCGGGCCCGTCAAATTCTTCCACAACGGAAATGCCATCGACGATGGAGTCCAAATCCGAGGCTCAGGTAAACAGCTACTCTTCAATTATTACCTTGCAGCTAGAAAGTACGTAAGCAAGGTAAATGTTTTCTTCTATCTACCTACTTGCAAAGCCTTTTGCTCCTGTTAGAGTGCCAGAGTGGCTCTGAACCATTCCCTTTACTAAAGCAGGAATTCCCACCTTTTCCCCGCCTTCCATCTTCCCTCTTCCACCAAGCCAGTTACTCCAACCACTACTTATTTTTTATGACCACAGTGGCTTTGCTCTTTTGGTATTTTCACTGTTGCTATCTCAGTGGAAAGGATACGACAGAAATTGTTAATATTTCTGAAATACAGTACAGAAGGCTTCACCAGTCACCTGACGTTGTCCCTCCTCGTTTTCACCAGGGTTCTGTGTAAAACTACTCTGTATCCATCCCATAAGATACAACGGTGCCATTTCCAAGGGGCAAGTCCTTGGGAAAATGTTGCCAATGCAAAGAGTATTTCCCGGCATCACATCTCACATCCACATCGAGAACTGCGACCACTCGGATCCCACCAGCAACCTCGAAGGGGGGAAGGGGCAAAGAGAGTGAAGTGGAAATGCAGTAAATTCTAAATAAATTCATCTCAGCATCCAAAAGTTGTTTTTTCTGCTCGTGAGAAGGTCTGTGCTATCATTGATTCACTACTTTGAGTGGTACACAAGCAGTGTCTCTAGTGGAGGCTCACACAAGGGAAAATGCTTTGAGTTTTCATTGGAGAGAGTTGGGAAATTAGCACTGATTAGTTATAAGCTTTCTCAAAGAGTCTGAAAAACCAGCTAAAATGCAAACTAGCTATCCCCCCATGTGGTAGAGAAGGTGCATGACTGCCAGCTTCCCCCCTCGAGTACCAGCTGGCCTCACTTGTTAAGATCAGCCAGCAGAGCAAACGCTCCAAAAAAATTAGCGCATCAAAAATCACATGACAGTGACAATCACCACCAGCTAATTAATGTAGAATTCTCATTATCAACAGGAAGACAGGACAAGTACAGCGTGAAAGTGATTACAGCAAAATTTATATACAGTGAGTTTTAGTTTCCAGTGAGCAAAATGTCAACACAAAAATACAGACTCTAATTTACATCAACTCATCGTGCCTCTCCCCTTTTAAGAAAATAAATATATTAAAATCTTTTTTCTTAAAAAACAATTGATAGCAACAAGTATTAAACAGTCCGGAATTAAATATTTCAGGATCATCTCCAGCAATCCTTTCTCTAGAAATCAGGGCTTACAGCACAGCCAAGATCACTACAGGTCACCCTGACCTGTCAGTGACGAGCGATTTAAGTGCTCTAAATCCTGGATTCCAGATTGACAGGGATCAAAGACAACTGTATTCCATTTGTTCCTTCCTTCTCACCAGCCACGTTTATGAAATCCTTCTCATCTCCCAGTAATGAAAGCATGGAACAACATCCAGACATCAGTCTTTGACCACAAAGACTTGAACCCAAATCCAAAGCTATTCCTTATATCCCACCGTTTCCAAAGTGCTTTATTACTTGCTCCAGCAATCAATCCAGCTAAAAACTTTTACATTCATTAATTTTAACCAAGTCTCTTTCCAACCCTTTCAATGCATAGGACAAGACCAACATACTGTACAATGCAGTCTCAACAGCTTCACTACTGTGACAGAATTATTTAAAGTGCAATTTAATGCTTACAAAAAAACTTTACAGTTTCAGCTTATGAACATTTTAATATAATACCATCAGTTTAAACTGGATTACAGCCGATTAACCCAGGCCAGGATATTTTAATGTACAAGCTTTTACAATCAAAACATGAATATTTATAAAAAAAGCTATATAAAACATCATGACAAATAATACTGTACTCCAAGTTGTATACAGCTTTCCATAAAGATAGATTTCCTAAAGGAAAGAAGTTACTCTATTCCTCTTCTGACTACATCAGAAAGATTAAACAAAGACATGAAAAAAAACCCCAAAACCACTATAAAGTGAATGGAACATTTAAACTGAAGCTCAGAGAAGCCCAAGTTCACTGAGGTTTGCAGCACCTGTAAACCACAGACATACTTTCAGAAGTGGTAAGTACACTTTAATCTATTTTCTATTTCAATATACAATTAATATTCTAGAGTGTTTTGCTGTTAGGTCCACCAGAGGTTCTCGAGGTAGAAAACCTCAAATCTGGAAGCAAAGTTTTCACGTTTCCCGTTTAAATTCCTTACTTGCATAGAAAGCAACACCCTGATCCCACCGCCTCATCCACGAACGCGCAGAGAATTCACCAGGTCGGCATCATGTCGGGAAACCACATCCTGCCCAGGTGCTTGGAGACTTCCATGTGGAGCCGATCCAAGCTGTAATCGCTGTCCGGGATCAGCACCTCCTCCATGATGGACAGCTGGGTGAGCCTGCCCCCGCACATCTTGACGAACTCCAGGAAGCCCCTGCAGGTCACTTCGCACTCCCCCAGGCCCATGGCCGTGAGGTTCTTGCAGCGCTGGGCGATCTGGATGAGCTCATCGTCCAGGGGCTGGAGCCCGTTGGCGCACACGACCAGCTCGACGAGGCGCGGGCAGTTGGCGCCGACGCGGCCCAGCAGCGCCTTGCTGACGGCGCGGCCGAAGTACAGGTGGGTCACCGGCGTCTCCTCCCGGAAGAAAACGTCGAACTCCTCCTCGTACAGGAAGAAATACATCACGATGTTGACTTTGGGGGAGTGCTTGACGAGAGCGTCCCAGCTCTGCTTTTTGATGGCGTGGAATTCCACCTGCCCGGGGTTCTCGCTCACGACGTCGATGCGGAGGTGCTCGAGGTCGACGTGCTTCTCGCTCGACAGGGCCAGCAGGAGCTCGTCACTGAGGATGTAGTAGTTCAAAGCCAGCTCCTTCAGTCCGTGGCACTGATCAGCAACACAGAGAATGCCTGAGGAGCAAGAAAAATTGCTCTGTGAAATGAAAAGCAAATAAAAGCACAGCTATTCGCTGTAAAGCTCATGCAAATTCTAATTCTATTGGCTTCAGTTTTCATGCCTATATCCAAAACCCCTGAAATATCCAAGTTCTAGATACCCACAACATTTTACAGGCTTTTGGCCATTAACATTTATCAGTAAAAGACCCAAGTCTAACTAGTAACACTCATATTGGATCTGCACATCTCCCTCTTTGTCCTTCCCTATGCAGAATTCTGTCAGCTCTGAAGGAGCAACTAAAATTAGCTCAGATTCAGCTGAAGTTGACACTATTTAAATCACCACCAGCAACCTTGTTTACCCATTAAAACAGAGCCATCCATGAATTAAGACATAAATAAAGTAACTGCTGTTCATCTGCTGGAATACAAAGTACACAAATTAAGTCACCTTTTGTGGACTCCAGCAAAGAATACAGGAAATAAGATTCCCTTTCCCTGGCATTAAGGTTTCGGGAGAAAGGCAAGTGGCACCCAAAAGCCCCCTGAACCTTCCAGCAAGGGAGTATTCTGAAGGCAGCGAGCCCTTCACCAAGCAGTGGGTTCAGGTCCAGATCTGGACACACGAGGGCACTCCAGAAAGGGAAACCACTCCCAGTCTCAACCTTGCAAAGCCATTACTGACAACTGCTTTAATCTCCTTTATCCCACCAAGCAGGAGTTGATTCACGGATCAGGGATTTTGTGTGTGTGTGTTCCCGTTGTTGTTTTGATACTTTACTACTCCATTTTTCACAAATATTCACTACTCACCAGCAGGTGAAACGTGAGGACAGCTGCTCATTTTTAGCAGTTTTAGAGTGTCACTGTTGTTAGCAACGAGAACCTTCAGGGAAGGATCATCAAGTGGCGTGTCATCTACCTTGATTGATGATAATGACTTGGAGTTTACAAAAACTACTGTCAGTGCTGAAGCAAAATGAGCCTGTTTGGAGAAATGGAAGGAAGGAAAAAAAGTCTTATGAAAAGATGGGCAGAACTTCAGCTTCTCAACCTCACATTCTGCACACACAGGAGGTAGAAAAATAATCACTTCTCAGTCATTCCCTTTCTTGTGCAACAAAGAAAGGCTTATTTGAACATGAGCATAGGGCATCTTGGTTTAAAAACACGCTGTTGCACATGACAGAAGTTAACTTTATACTCAGTAATTAACTCATCCACTCCGATTTATTGTTTCACTGTAATAAAACAGGGATAAGTGGACACAGTGATGAGCCCAAAGTACCTGGTTACAGTCTGTAGAACATTACCTTAGAGACATTCATGAAGCTTGGCCTTGCTGTAGAGATCAAACCCAGTGTCTTGATTGAACAATTCACCAGCTGAGAAAGGATGTCACAAGCTGCTTCTGCTGACTCAGTACTGCTATCAACCTATAAAAGCAATTTTAAAATAATGAAGTCATCCTTCAGTGTTACTTAGCAGACAGCACCATGGATACCCAAGACTGCAAGTTCCACACCCACTCAGCTGTACAGCCTGCAATCACCACAGGGACAAAGTGCAGCATCAACTGGAATTTTTCAAGATGAGAAAGAGTTCAGGAAAGTTTTGAGTATGACTACTGAGCATTTCTGTATGAACAGAGACCTTAAATCTAAGTCTTCTCTTCAAATAACTTCATGTTATTACAATACTGTAACACTACTGGTGCTACAATAGGCAGCGATAGATATTTTTTTTAAATGCCAATTCTTGGAGCCCAAAAATGACTTGACAAAGTCTAAATTTATTCCATTTTATCTGCATGGACAACACCTTTGCATCTTAAATAACGAACTGGTTCTCAATTCATTAGCCTGAAAGAGTAACCTTGGATAAATCTCTGTTTGCTCTCACCTTCCTCCTCTGCTTTGCACGACAACAGCTCTTTCTTTACTTTGTAGAGGTTTCAGAGTGTGGAAAATTGAAGGAAGCTGCCTGCATTTTTAAACATTAAACTTCCCAGGTCCATCCCTCAATCCAGCTGGCACAGAGCAGCTGCATCCCCTGCACACAGGAACGTGACACAGCAGCCACAGCTCACAGCTTACCTTGAAGCTGACGTACTGCAGATGGTCAGCGTGCCTCTTGATAATCTGCTGAATGAGATCTGGGTGCGTGGACTTTAAGTACGAAGTGGCTGGCTGGCTGAGTTCAAATTCAAACCTCCTCCAGAGATCTGGGATGTGAAACACCTCGTTCCACCTCCGGCAAACAGAGGACGCCCTGGCTCGATCCACCAGAGTCAGGAACTGGAAAACACGCAGGATCACGTGGTGGGGGAGGCTGCCCCAGTCCATCGAGGTGCACAGGGCAGAGTCACCAAACACTGAGCCATGGAAACCAGTCTTCTGTTTTTTGCTGGGCTGTGAGGTGTGAGGAGCTTCAGCTGCAGCCGCAAGTCTCTGCCCAGCTCTCTTCATCGTGGAAACTGCAGGGGCTGCACCGATCCGAGGGGTTGGAACCGCAGCTTCCTGGAAGGGCTCACGCTCAGCAGGTCTCTACAAAAACACAGGAGATTAGGGGGGAGGAAGGGAGACAAGGCAGTGGACACACAGGAAGAGATAACAAGGTAATAAAGTTTAAATATAGAGTGTTACTCCTGAAAAGAAGCATGGCCATATGTCCATATCCAGCGCACAG